AAATTCATAGACACTATTTGACATTCTTATTAAACTCCCTAATTTAAAATTGACTTTTAACTAAGTGACTACACACAGAATTATTTGAAAGCAGCCATAAGGTATAATTTATTTATTGGATACTTTAAAAAATTAATAGTAGTTACATGTAGATTTAAGTAACAAGAAAATTAATAACAAAAACAATACAAACCTTTATATCTAGTGAACTTAATTTAGTACATTCCTCAACTTTCTTAGGCTAACATTAAAGATATCTATTTGGACCTCAGTAAGAAACTCATTGGTAACAGCCATCATCTTGTTAAAAGGAGATATACTACTTGGATCTAAACTAAAAATTTTTTGTTACTTGAGATTCTTAGATTAATCTTTGCCACATTAAAATTTATATAGTCAATCAAATCACAATTTTTGTACCTAACATTATTTAAAATAGGGTACAAAATATATCACAGCCTGTAGCTTTCTTCTTTGTAAAAGATATTTAATCTTAAGGTGATTACAGCACCCCCTTATAATTTTGAGACAAGGATATCTCAAAAAGTAATTTTTTTAAAAAATTAAAATTTTGGCAAAATATATTAGGCAATAATATCTAAAATATGCATATATTTTAAAATTTTAATTTCTTTAAATTTTGAAATATCATAATGAAAAATGCATTCCTCAACAGCACTATTCTTAATATAATCTCCAAATTTAAGCTCTTAATCTCTTGTTAATGATTTTTTAAAATTCGCCGAAATTAGTGGCTAAAACGCCTCGTTAAGTGCTTCTTTCTAGTGTAACGCGTCTGTAACTATTGTTTCGTACACTCTGAGTCATCATTCGTTTCTTGCAACGATTTACACCAGTTTACACCAGTTTAAACCAGAAAATAGCACTTAACGAGGCGTTTTAGCCACTAATTTCGGCGAATTTTAAAAAAATCATTAACAAGAGATTAAGAGCTTAAATTTAGGGATTGTATTAAGAATAGTGTTGTTGAGGAATGCATTTATTTTCATTATGATATTTTAAAATTTAAAGCCCTTTGATTTTTTTTCTCGGAAACTGGAAGGAATTAAAACTTTAAAAAATATGCATATTCTAGATATTATTGCCTTATTTATGTTGCCCAAATTTAAGTTTTCTAAAAACATTACTTTTTGAGATATCCTTGTCCAAAAATTATAAGGGGGTGCTGTAATCACCTTAAAGATCGAGCATAATTTTATATGAGATCTTATAAGAGTACGAGTATTTTTTATGACATAAAGGCAACGTAAAAATATTTTTTGTACTTTTTTAATATGATCAATATGCTTCCAAGGGTATCCATATTTGTGAAACATACTCAAGATGGGGTCTTGCTAAGGCATTATATAATCAGATTTAGGTGGTAATCTTAAAATTTTTTGTATTTCTGATTTAAAAACCCAAAGCTTTTATTGCTTTTTTAGTTATGTGTAAGAAATGGTTACTGAGCTTCAAATTAGACTGAAAGACAACTTTCAAATCCTTTACTTCATATTCACGATTTAATGTGACATCACAGGTCTTGTATCTAATGTAAAAAATTAAGAGGCTACGGATCCTTATAACTTAAAATATGCATATGTTTGTAAGTGTTAAATAGACGGATAAAAAGTGTTGATTTTTATTTACAACTATAATAAGAACCTATTAAAAAGATTAAGGGCAATAGAACATATTTCAACAAATTTCTATAGGTACACATATTTTTGATGCCTGATCATCAATAAACAACATATTTTTTGGAGTGGCAACAGGTTTATTAATACACAACTATTATTTTGTTACAAATATATAATAATATTTATAATTAACGTAATAGTTGATATAAGTCCTTTATAATAATGGTGGGTGAGGTTTTCCGGGTTTTCCTCACCTGTAAGTCAAATGGCACCATCAATCATCTTTAAGTCGCCCCGGAGCGCCACGGCAAATAATAATAATAGCCGTCCCTTCCCCTACACAAGTCGTTCAGTCGATTTCAGGGGTTGAAATTCACTCGTAAGGGGGTGAATTAGGGAGAGTATTATTATTATTATTATAAATAAAATATATTTAATTTAATAATTATTGAATTTATACATGAGCAATTTTCCTTGTAGCGTTGTTTACATTTTGCAGAGAATTATTGTGTTCTGCTTTTAGCTGATAATCATGTACATGTAAATGGGTTGAATGTAGACAATGTTAATGTTTTTGCTACTACTGCTGGCTGGGAATGCTGGGCTGGGGACTGGGACACCAACAAAAAAAACAAGGAAGCACAAAGCATTAGATCAGTTTTTATCACTTATACTCTTACAATTTACAACCATTCAAGTAACTAGCATGTTGGAAATACTTCACGAAAACATATTAAAGATAAATCAGTCGAATGCAATGTATTTTCTTTTTATAACACACCTTTTTAGCTTGATTACTTCTAGTACTCTATTTATTCCAATGTACTCAAATAAAACGAGCAATAATACATAACAATAAGGATAAAACACACACTGAAGTGTATTTGTGGTATTTTTGATGTAAATTCACTATCACAATAACAAATTTTCAATTTTTAAGCTGTGAATGTATTACAAAAACTACTTCGATAAAATGTAAACAAAAGTTTGTATTTGTGTACGAAATATGGGTTGCCTGTGCATGGTAGCGAGTTTTTAACCGGATTAATACTTATACTGGGGTTTAATTACTCTGAATAATACTCAGAAAACATGGAATTACTGGAGCCCCACTACCTATGAGCCCTCAGTATTTCATTTGTGCTGAACATTTTTTTCACGTTTACGATTGTTCTAAATAAGATAACGTAAACAAACTCTTAGGTATTGTATGTGCGCCGTCCCGATAACTTTAGAACGAAATCTCCGATAGACTTGCGCTTTTAATTTTCTTTGATAATTTCTTCTAAAATAGAACCCTATTTTGTATTTTCAGACTTGTCTGTTTAACTTTAATGCTTTAAATATCAATGTTTTTAAAATGCAATGAATTTCTTATGAAGCTTATTTTATGCACTGTAACAGGAATATTATGGATGGATGGGTAATAAGATATTTTTTCTATACTGCTTGTTACTCTTGAACGTCAAATAAATTATTTAACATTTTTAAATTTTTTTCTAATTTTGACAAGTAAAGTGACATTTTTGTAATCGCAGCAAGTGTCAAAATGATCTACTTTGTGCAACCAGTTGCATAATGTTGAATATTATGATACTGTTGGCGAAAAGAAAACAATTAAAATAAACCTTTTTTGGTTTTAAAATCAATATATACATTATTATTTGTAGTTTATATCAAAGAAGGAAATATATAAAAATAGAATTTGGTTAGTCAACTTGTTTTGGTCCTTATTTTCCGTCTAAATTAACACAAAATAATTAAAACGCAATACACGACAAAACAAACCACTTTCTTGATAACTCAATAACAAGCAACAAGTCCTTGATAATAAAATAATATAATTATTTTCTATTTGTAAATAAAATAAATGAAGTTATACATATGCAACTAACAATACAAGAAAGTAAGATTGGTTGCCTAGATGCTAATAATATTTTACCAAAACACTATTTTATAAATAATGTGGTCAAAATTAGAAAAAATATTGTATGTAACACATTACGAAATGCTGTATTGTGTAACTCGTTCATGTTGAGGTACCTCGGTCTGCTCGTCCCACAAATATTTACTGGCTACATAAAATAAGGCATTTTGCAAATGGTTGCATAAGCAGCTATTATTTGAGTAGTTATTTATTGTATAATAAAGTGATGTCAAAATAATAGTTTTAAGATGAAATAAATGTGGAGTATAACATATAGCAATGATTGTTGCACTTTTAACGAACTCCAGAATTTAACTCTTATATGAATTTGATATTATGATTAAAAAGGTAAAGCGCCCAAAGATTATTTTTACATGGGCAGACTTAAGGAATAAATATTCCAAATATTAAGATGGGCACATGGACAGGCTTATAATGTACAAACGTGCCCAAATAGTATTACATAGGCAGGCTTAAGAGACGAAAGAACCAAATATTACATGAACAGGCGTAAGGACCAAGGGGTAAAAGAACCAAATATTTTTACATGGGCAGGCTTTAGGAGTAGATGACCCAAATATTTTCATATAAAGACATTTCAGAATAGCTGTATTTTGAATAAAAGATAGAGTACTTCTTTTTGAACACAACCTGATTCAAAACAATCACACGATAGTACAGGGTTACGTTTTTACTCGTATAATGCAATTTTGTATTTTATGTTTAAATTATACCAGATTTAGCATCCTATCTAGTCCTGTCTTCTGCTACCGAACTCGTTAGAAAACATTGGTTTGCATGGATAGTCCTGTGCTGCTTTTATAAAGCTCTGAAGAATATTCTTATTTTCGTCAAGGATTCACTTGTTATACTATGGTACCAGATCCTATGCAATCAATATACAATGTAATTTTAATAGGTAACATGAATGTTTTTTAGAAAAATTTGATTGTGACATCTCGTTTCTTTAATCAAATTAGGTAGGTACTATTCAACCTTTCTATACACCTCCATCTACGCCCATGGGCAAAGAAAGAACTACACACACCATACTTATTCTGAAAATATACTACCTAGGTTCTTACAAAGTCTAAAACAAACGCGATATACCTAAATATGTATAAATTAGCATTTAGGTTAAATATGCGAATATAGAATATAGGTATCTAAATGTTTAGTCATAGTTTAAATTTTAAATACCTAGGTATCCGTACTTAGCCCAGGTAATAAATTTCGAAAATGTGGCCAGCATATTTTAATTTTGGGTTTTACAAATTATCTTTTGGTAATGCTATTTTCATTTTCTTTAGTACCATAGTAGATCTTTTCATTCAGTTGGTCTTTGTACATTTTCCCACATTAAAAAGATAAAAATAAACAAATATCTAGGTACCAATTATTTTTCCATAAAATGTAACTACAAGATTACTTACCAAAAGTCGATCCAAATAAGTAAATGTATTAAACAATTTGGTTTTAATTCAATTGAAAGCCATTTTAAGTCAAAACTTCTTGAAATGTTTATTTGATATTACTTTCGTAGAAGTTTTAAAACTTTGATACACACGCGCACCTCACACACATACCCAGCACGAACTAAAATGTAAACAGAAAAATTAAAACCAATCAGGCTGCTCATAAATAAACTGTTGTCAAAAGATTCTGTTTCTTTTCATTTAACAGATATCTCCGTTTCTTTGATTGGCGTTTGGTTTTGGTTCTTACGTTGCTGAATAGATGGCAGAGAAGTAAGGATTCTGAATCAAATAAAGTCTCTAATGAAATAATTTAATGGGTTTACTTCATTACTTCCTACTTCGTAATGTATTGCAAAGAATCTTTTATATCACCAATTGTTAACAATTTAATTTTTTTTTCATTTAAATGTTAAATATCGTGGCCATTATTTGAGTACAAAACTTTGCGTGTCCCTCTCAGTTACACACAGATAACAAATTAAAGATTAAAGAATTAAAGATTAAAATTAAAGATAACTTCATTGGGGTAGCCACCGTTACAATAGTCTGCTATAGATGGCACTAATTTGTTATATTTAAACAATCCTACTATATAGGCAACTCAATATGCAGGCGACTTACTTTCTTATTTAATAACTATTAAATGCATGATTATATCAAAATAATTTACATCGGTAAGTACGATATTTCAAGTTTAGTTTTTCTCAAAGATTCAAAGACGATTTAAAATTATGTCAAAGTTAAATGTCAATTAGGCATTCCAACGACCTGTCAAACAATAGGTGCCAGTCGTGGGAAATTCTTGTATATTTAAGGGGGTAGCGACATAGTCTTGCAACTTGGACACTATTTTTATTCGAAGTAGTACTCGCCAAGCCTGCCAATTTATGAAAAAATGTATAGGTGGGTTTTTTAAATATTATTTTTATTGTGTTTGACATAAAATATTTAAATGTAATCCATTATTCATGATTTTACGTAAAGTAGATAGAATACACCATATGTCGCCACCCTTAGATATACCAAACCTGCCCACTGGTAATTCATTTGTTTGGAATGCCTAAATGTTTTTGAATTTTTTACTTTGACTTGACAGAAGTAATTTTTCGAAAAGCAAATTCGATCCGATGGTAATATTTTTGAAAGGTAAAAAATAAAAACAAAAGTATCCTTGTATATAGATTGTTGGTTAGTTTAGTAGTTTCTGAAATATATATATTTTTGTATTACCTAATAAAAAGTCAAAAAATAGTAATCGAAAATGTAAAATTATTTAAAAACAATGTTTTTTTTTATATATATCTTTTGCCATAGGTTAAGTTTTAATAATACATGATAATGCGATGTGATAAGTAATTTAGAATTAAAATTTGTTAAACTTTGAACCTAATTTAAGTTGTAACGACCCCGTCAATTAAAATTGAAAAATAAAACGAGTGCCTATAATGTGTTTCTGTATCTACAGCTTAGAAATATAAGATACAGAGATGGTAAGCAGTTACAAGTATACCTACTTAGGTGGTGCAATATTACAATTACATTAATAGCTAATTAGCTTACTTAACAATATTAATATATTAATTATATTGCAGGTGTTGCACTAAAAGAATAGTATCTAAAGTAAAAAGATACCTTTTACTCAATTCATATTGCACTTCAGGTTTTATGTGTGGTTTCAACTGTAATGTTGTTGAGGAAGAGAAGATTCTTTAAGAGGTAAGTCTCAACAAACATTTTTTTTTTAACTAAGATGTACAGGGTAGGTACTTATGAACTTAATTTTAAAAAAGAAGGCTAGATGGATAGAATAAGTACATGATACAACAAATTTCAGAAGGTTTTAAAAAATACATTTAGAAGTAAAAGTAAAAATAGCATCATCTATTATGTATAACCTACACACAATTCAATTGAATTTAGAATAACAAGGTTAATTAAATTAGTTACATTTAGTTAATAAGAAGCTATTGCCTTATATAAAAGACGTATTTACTATTTCAATTGGTTTTTGGTATTATTAATTAAAATGATTATAAAAACGAGAAAAAATAAAAGATGTTTTCAATGATAACCTCTGAATTTATTGGAACTATTTGGACAATGAATGCAATAATATAACATAGGAGTATTTTAATAGAGGGGTGGATCACTAGCTAAAATTTGTATACCTACTTCGAATTAGTATTAAGTACTTCGAGGTACTTTGGTATATTTCAAGGTACTTTGAGATACTTTGAAAATAACAGTAATAATAACTGAGAAGACAATAAGGCCGAAGGCCAGGTAACTTTATGAGGTGTATGGACTAATGTTAACTAAGAGAAACACTAAACTTTAACCTAATATGTATGGAATACTAGCTATCGCATACTTTGTTAAATAAATGTATAGGGGAGAGGGTGGAGGGTTTGAACACTTTTCAGTCTTTTGTCTTTGTGTGTTAAGCCATACAGTGTTCCTTAATAAAAATTTTAAACTAATCTAAACAACCCCACTACATTTGTTCAAATCCTCCCTTGGCTGGTGTGCCTTTGAACAGAAAAGGGGAGGGTTTGAACACGTCCAGAATGAGCTCTAAAATAAACAAAATATGCAGGAAAGGCCAAATATATTTATTTACTAAAGGTAAGTAACATTTAGGTACATATTTCATCTTAAATCAAATTTATCAAAACACATCATTAAATCTGAATATTTTTGTAGCTCGCAATGTGCCACCAGTGATTGATGGTTGAGTTAACTTTAAAATAATGTCTGACAAATAAGAGACACGTCGTCTATTTCAGTAAAATAAAAGATATTGTCTCCTGTTTTTCTAAGAAATTTAACATTCAAATCATCTTTTAATCTCTCTTCTACTTGAGCCACATAGTGAACTATACTTTTTTTTGTATTAAACTTCACTAGAACAAAATCGTTTACTATAATAGTTTCTAAGCTTGCCGTAGCTAATTTTTCGGAAACTTCCAAATCTTCTGGGTCATCATTATCAGTGCTGCTATCATGGACAGACATATTATCCTCTTCTGCACTACTACTGTCGCTCTGCAGAACTTTTCTCTTAACAACTTTTTTTTATCATTTTCCTTAATTTTCTTTTCTAATAAAGAAATTACTTCATTCTCTAAGCTACTGCCTTTTTTTCTGTGGTATTTTCTTTAAAACGATCCCATTTTTTTTTTGTTTTTTCGGTATTTGTTTCATCATTTTTTTTACAATTCGCTGAATCGCTTTTCAGGGGTATCTGTCAGTATTTTTGTAACACCTTTTTTTTACCACCCACCTTGTTCGAGCTTCTGTAACTTTAGGGTAAGGTCTAACAACCTCTGGAGTAATTTCTGAAGTTGTTTGGCTTAATCCTGATATTGAACCGTTTACTGGATTTATTTGAGATGGTCCAGGTATCGGAGAATTTACTGGATTTATTCGAGACGGTCCAGGTGTAGGAGAATTTACTGGATTTATTTGAGGTGGTCCAGGCGTCGGTGAGTTTGCTGGATTTATTCGAGATGGTCCAGGTATCGGAGAATTTGTTTGTAGGCAAATAAATAACAGTGTCCACATTGCTAGTTTTTTTTCTTCAGAGATATTAGGAGTTGGTCTATCCGTAACGTAAGAGGCATCGAAGTCTGTATCACTAAAAGCATTCTGATTGACTGGCCATATCCCAGGCTTCCTGAAGCTTTCTTTTATATTGCTTATTGTAAAAGATGCTGCATAAGCAATGGCAGTAATCTCCACAATATTATGAATGGTGATGCTTCTACCAGGGTGGTTCATCATCCAATCATTAGATGCATTTTTAAATTTTGCTTTAAAAGGACAATAAACCCCAACATCTAAAGGCTGGAGGCGATGGGAGCAGTGAGGTGGAAAGGTAAGTAGAATCATACCATTTTCTTTGGTATAGAGAATTGCTTCCAGTGAACAGTGTGTCTCGTGGTTGTCCATGAGGATTAGGATTGGATCATCTTTTGAGCTTTGTGTGTATTTATTTATGTGTACCAAAACTTTCAAGAAAATTTCAGCAGTCATCCAACCACTTTCCGGACTATTGGGAAAACCTAAACTACCGCTAGGTGCCCCATTTATTAACGTCTCCAACATTCTAGCCCTCGGAAAAATAAACACCAGAGGAACAGGGTTTCCACTTGCAGATATTATTGCACACATGGTAACGAGTTTACCGCGTTTTTCGGATACCACCTGACCGACTTGTTTAATTCCTCTACATGCAACGACATACGGAGCTTGAACAACCGTCATTATTCCAGTTTCATCCGATTAAAAATTCTTTCTTCAGAAAAGCTGTATTTTTCCATAACCTTTGAGTAATTTTCCTGAAATAATTTTACGTTTGTTGGATTAAAACTGGTTGATCGTGATAAGCTCGTATTTTCAGGCTTGCGTAAACTGAGAGTTGGATGTCTTCTCATGAAGCCCTTCATCCATTCAATATCAGCCCTTTCGTCTCGTATCCAACTCTCAGGACTTTTTTTGTCCAATTTAATCGTATATTCATGTGCAAGTTTACGTGTAGATTCATAAGTTAACCCATAATTCATACGGGAAGTTCTAAGTAAATATGTTTGTAGCATAGTCTCCTCCATATTTGTGAATACCTGATTCGTGTTATACTTAAAAGTATAATCTTTTCCTTTGTCTTTGTTCTTTATTCTGTAATATAAAGCTGTGTGTTTTACATTGTTTTGTTCAGCAGCAACTCGCAAAGAAATCTTTCTTTCGACCACATCAGTTATTGCCTTCTGCATGTCCGCTTCATTGAATTCGACTCTGTTGCCCTTTTTCTTGTATACTCTGACGAGCATATATTCACCTAACAATGACCAAACATCATCTGGTAAATCCCCACGTACCTAATGACAGGCGAAGAGAACACTGTTGCCAGTGCATTCCTATTTTCACAGACGACAAGAAAATATTTTAGTAGAAAATATTGTAATTGTTCAAAACCTCCTCGTATTCAAACCATCCACCCTCTCCCCTACCTGTTCCATTTAAAAATCTAAATAAATGAATGAACACCCCTGTATATTTTTATATATTCTGATTGTACATGACAAAATTAGTATAGTCACGTTGCCAGTGGCGTAGCCAGACATTTTTCATGGGAGGAATTTCTGAGAATTATGGGGGCGGTCCATCAACAAAGTGAAATATTTCAGATAAGATTGTTTTTATTAAAAATAAGTATTGTTTATAAAACGATAAAAAAAGTGAATAAAAGTTAAGATTTAATACCGATCAAGGCCAATACTATGGCAGAAACGGCAACGCGAAGACTTCATGTGTAATATTTTTTGCTTCATTCTACGTAAAGTTTTGTGATGGAGACATCATCATAATTTTACATTTTTAAAATCAATTTTCTCATTTATGATTGCACCAAATTTAAAAAACTTTGTAATGGTGAAGAGCGAATTAAAATCCATTTCAAACAAGGTGCTACCGATCCCCTTTCTTATTTAAATTGTTCGAGGGAGTGCTCATAATTCAGAGGAGGTGCAAGATGGGGGTAATAGTTTTATACTATGAATTGTCCAATTAGGAATAGAAAGATTTTTTTCTAAAATTACATATTAATGTTAAAAATGAATGTATTCCATACAGATGGACTGCAGAGTATATTACTGGTTATCTCCACTCTATCTCTATTAAGCAAATAAAATATCATCAGTACAGAAGGGACCCCAATCGAACGTATCACAGGTGACTCATGAGGTACCACAGAACAGAATCCTGAAATTTGACTTGGGAGCCAACATGGTAAGATCAAAATAATATTTTGAAAAACAATTTTTTTTTCTGTTTGGCAACGTCGCTATACTAATTTTGTCCTATTAAATCCGAATATGTAAAAATATAATGGGTGTTCCATTTAAAAATTTGAGAATATTTCTGGTGAAAAAAAAAAGCAATTTGTACATGATGTATATATACCAAATTTCAAGAAATCTCTATTAATAAAATTGTAAGCGTGCCCTACCTAATTTATTTAGCGTCATATTTTTTATTTGTCCTAAAAAGGAGACCAAACATAAACCCAAATAATCACATGTCAAATCGTGTGCATGGGTGGAGTACTTCGAGTGATAATTCGAGTACTTTGATATGTACTATGAATACTTCGAGTACTTCGACAGATACTTCAAATTCTTCGACAGGTACTTTGAGTACATCGGCAAGTACTTCGATACTAGTGTACACCTAATTCAAAAGGTGATCCACCTCTCGATTTTTATAATGCTAAAAAATTGAAACCGCAAAAAGTTAAGTTCGATAAAATATAAGACTTATGCAGTGCATAATTTAGTCTACATAAATTCATTTATCCAAACATTGCCTTATGCATTCAGATAACATTGGCATTAACGTCTAAAACTGTATGTAGATAGTTAACTTCTGGTTTCTATTTGGTTTTCAGTTAAAATTGAGTGTGACAAAATGGATCTTTACTGTCACAACATCTGTATCAATCTTTTCATTGGCAGCATTCTACCAATTTTAATATGTACTTTGTGTCACTTTAATGTGTAAGTATACTTAAGTTTCATGGTTTCGGAAGGTAATTTTTCAGTTAATACGAGTATGCACTGTTTGTATTATTGATATTTAGTTTATTCTTAACAGAAGTTATCTACTAACTTTAGTGACATTTTTTATTCAGCTGCAAATAGAATTTAGAACAAGTTAAGTACAGTTTTTCAAAATGTACAATTTTGTTTGTTTTAAGTTTTGATTAAATTTATGCACTATCATAAATCTATCAATATTTTAAGCATGTTTGAGGTATGTACACTTTTTGTGAAAAAAAAAAATAAATTTGAGGAACGCCGAATTGGTTGAATTTTCAGGTTTGTGAGGTATTTGCGTTACTTAGGCTAAACTACGTAGAAGTTCTTAACATTGCCAGCCCTGGTTTTTAAAAATCATCCTACGTCGCCTTTTCATTAATCTTGTTCACATAAAAATATATGGGCTTTTACCCCTTAAGCCTGTTTATGTAAAAATATGTGGGTCTTTTACTCCATAAGTCCATACAAAAAATATTTGGCTCCTTCCAGAGCTGGGGATTCGAATCACATAGAATTCGAATTCTATGTGATTTGAATTTTTTACTTAAGAAAAAAGGATCCCTGATCCGGATTCGCCGTGGAAATTCTGAAGGATTCGTATTCGAATCACTAATATTAGTCTCTGATCCTTTAAGAGACCATAATACGCCGGCACAAACGGTCGACTCAAGCTTTGACTTGTTGCGAAGTTTAAACTGATTGTGAATATTTAGAAGATAAACGTAATAATCTACAAATTAACAATGAATATCCAACATAAAAAATTCCTAAAATTTAAGACTAGCCTTCCTTCGTCTGGTGCATTCGAATAGTTATTTTTGTTTACAGGTATAGGTAATCGACGCACCTCGAAGGAACGGCCTGACAGATAAAAACTTTGAAATTTTGGTGCTATATAAGGCCATCCAAAAGACATTTTTATTTCATTGTTAATTATTTAGTTTTTTATATTAAAATAATCGTAGTTTATGTTATAAGGACGAAAAGTTGAGTTTTACGGGCGACTCGTAGAAGTCCGATAATACATTTTTCGTCCGTGTACTTATAGATATTAAAAAAATATAGAAAATTAAATCCAAATAATATTATTTCCAATTTTTATTATAGCTGATCGATAAGAATGACTAGGTGGGTATATTCTTGATAACAATTGAACAATTGCTTTCATGTTAGTGTGCTTATGTCAAATCGATTTAATTATAGTTTTTCTCTTATTCAATTAAAAATGTTTCTATTCAAAATTGATGTACATATGGATTATGGATTATTATTTTACAGCAGTATTGAAAGGTAAATAACAAATTAAGCAGAATGTTTAGATAGCCGAGCCGCTTCACTTTTGCGGCCTGGGCCCTAAAAGTACTTTTTAGTAGTATATTTAAAAGTTCTCCTTTTCGATTGTTTTCTGTCCGAAAAACGACGTTTTATCTCACATTCGAATAAAAAATATATTTTTTGTAGATTCTAATTTATTTATGGTTCATATTCATAAAAAAAATACTTTATATTATTCAACATCTTCTTTTATCAATTATTTTTATGCACGTCATAGTCCGTAATAGACACATAGTTGCTACATAATACCATGGTATGACACTGACAGTGATTATTCGTGTTCCGAAAAAATGGATTCGATTCACTTGATTCGAATCGATCCGTGATGCGAATCTATTTTTTGAGGATTCGTCCCAGCTCCGGCTCCTTCACTTCCTAAGCATGTACATATAAACATATTTAGTTTTTTAATGCTTGCACGTGCCCATTTAAAAATCTTTGTCTCAATTATACCTTAAGTCTACCCATTTAAAAATATGTGTGTGGTCCCTCTATCCCTTAAGCTAGCCCATATCAACATATTTGTTCTCTTTTCCACTTACGCCTATCGATGTAAACATATTTGGGCCTTTTAACCTTTAGGTCTGCCGATGTAAAACTATTTATATCCTTTACCCCTTAAGCCTGTCTGTGTTAAAATAATTGAGTCTTTTACCTTTTTAAACAATATCAAATGCAGGTACCAGTTCCATTATGGAGTTCGTTAAAACTCATTCAAAAATCATAGTTTTTTCACCATCCTCCAGTTATTTATTTCAACTTAAAATAATATTTACACTTATCACTTTCAGTTACAATAAATAACAATTCAAATAAAATCGTTTAACATACGTTTAAACAACTTTAAATAATTTATTTGACGTTTAGGAGTGACATCGATTTAAAAAATGTGTGGCTTCTTTAAATAATTATTTGACCCTTAAATGACTTCAATATAGAAAAAATGTCTGGTTTTACAGTTGAAATCTAGTGAAATCAGTAACAGTGCCGCATAAAGAAGTCAAATAAAATCAAAGATGCTTGGTGCTTTTATTCTAGAGTTATCGTGTCGGCTGACATTATTATTATTCACTGACATGAGCTGAGAACCGAAGTCCTATGTAGCTCATATTATTCAAAAATTTTAAATAAAAGTAAACAATTTTTTTAAATCTATAAACTATAAATTGCTATATAAAAATGAAAGTATAAAGACAATAAATAAATTTAATTTGTTGTGATTATAATTTGTCTCTATACAGATATATACCTACTTAGCCTAAGGAATCAAATTTGTTTTAAAACGAGTTAACTCAAGGTGCGCATACAACGTTATCAGGTAAATTGTTCCAAACACTGAAAACTTGGTTTGAAAGAAAATTTTGCCTAACTATAAAGTTAAAATTTTCCTTCTTTAATTTGAACATGTGCCCACGTAGGCGCAGGTCATTATTTAATACAGATAAATCCGACAGATCGACATCGAACATATATATGCACATATATACGCACATATATAGGCACACATACGCACGCTCAGACAACCAGACGAGAAATTGTTTTGCGTTTTCGGTCTCAGAGTAGTAAACGGAGAAAAGGGCTAAAAGTATAGGTAAGCATTTTTTGTTCGAGGCGACACACTTTTGCTTCTTAAATAATTTGTAGATTGTCATCAGGTACAAAGGAAACCTAAAATATATTTTTCAAATGTATTTTTAGTTCGATTAAGTATATTATTATCCAGAAGTTAGTTTTGTATATATTTTTTATAAGTATTTTGTGTAAAATGTGACTGGACATTCGGTTAAATGATTCTCTTCGTTAACAACGATTTATCTGCCATTTTTTGTTTTTATTGTAGTTAAACCATTTTGTATTGGGTACCTAATGAATGAAATTTAAATTTACACCAGGCATTTTAATCTGAAACAAAGACAATGGTTTAGAAAATAGTTTTCTATTTTATAGAGGACCCTTACCAAATCTACTCAAATGTATAAATAATAATTATTTATAAAATAAATTCTCCAAGTTAAAAAACACCACCAAAAATATGACAAATGACAAGAAAAAGTGACAATTGACATGAACGATTGTAATGTTCACAGTACTTCTCATGGATATGTTTTTAAGCAAATTACTTTATTACGTTGTGTTAACATAACAGGTGGGTTAAATAGATAAGTAACAAATATAAGTTTTACGAGGTTTTGATTTCCCTCAACAACTTCTCATGAACGTTGCATTTACGTAGTATAGTAATGTTATTACGTTCCCTTCCCTAAAGCAACATCGCGAAAGGCTTGGCAACGTTGTCCTAGCTGGGTACTAAGTATATGTTACGTGACGTTGTTTATATGTGCTATGCTGATACTGAGAATGTACTTCAAGTATGTGTATTATGCAAAAAGTATCTACTTTCATTTGATAGTACGTTCTAAGTATATACTAAGTATTTAAATTTAACACATACTAGGTCAATACTAGACATCCTAATACAGGATGTTTCATTAATATTGAACATCAAAGAATACGTGTATATAATGAAAATCGTGAATATTTTTTAAATATTTATTTCCAAAAATTCACACTTATTCTTATTTGAATTACAAATTCTTTCTTTAGCCTTAACCAACCAACATTTTATTGTATCTGTGGCTTGAGTTTTTACGGCGAATTGAAAACCTCATTTTTTGAAGTCATTTAAAAAATAAACTTGGATAAAGAAAAAAACAATTCATTGAACGGTACAGAAATATGTATCTACATAAATTCAAAGTACACATACAAGAATTTAAACTTACGAGATATCTGTTATGTACAAACACAAAGGCGGATGACCTAAAATTAAAGTGTTTGGTACTAAACGTGATATGTAACTATAAAGAATAATTCGCAAAATACAAAAATAAATAGATGCAACAACAATTTTAATCTAAAGGATATCTTATTGTTAAATACAATACAAATATGTATTTGAAATCTTCTAAAATCTAAAATCTTCTAAAATTTTCTAAAATCTTCTAAAATCTTCTAAAATCTTCTAAATTCTTCTAAAATCTTCTAAAATCTTCTAAAATCTTTTAAAATATTCTAAAATCTTCTAAACTCTTCTAAAATCTTCTAAAATCTTCTAAACTCTTCTAAAATCTTCTAAAATCTTCTAAAATCTTCTAAAATCTTCTAAAATCTTCTAAAATCTTCTAAAATCTTCTAAAATCTTCTAAAATCTTCTAAAATCTTCTAAAATCTTCTAAAATCTTCTAAAATCTTCTAAAATCTTCTAAAATCTTCTAAAATCTTCTAAAATCTTCTAAAATCTTCTAAAATCTTCTAAAATCTTCTAAAATCTTCTAAAATCTTCTAAAATCTTCTAAAATCTTCTAAAATCTTCTAAAATCTTCTAAAATCTTCTAAAATCTTCTAAAATCTTCTAAAATCTTCTAAAATCTTCTAAAATCTTCTAAAATCTTCTAAAATCTTTTAAAATCTTTTAAAATCTTTTAAAACCTTTTAAAATCTTCTAAAATCTTCTAAAATCTTCTAAAATCTTCTAAAATCTTCTAAAATCTTCTAAAATTTTCTAAAATCTTCTAAAATCTTCTAAAATCTTCTAAAATCTTCTAAAATCTTCTAAAATCTTC